ATGATTTAGTTTAGACAAATACCATTTGCAAGATTAACAATTGAATTAAGTCCCTGACCAACGTCAGCCGACATAATTCCACATTAGTTGTCATTTATTTCTTTGTTATTTTTCCAATTATACCCTTTTGTCAATGTTTGTAATGATGACTTTTTTTTTTTAGTTAACAATCATAGGACGTCATTTATTATAGATTATTTTTAGGATGCATATGATATTTTGTAGTAGTTTGTTTTGTTCTCGTTCAAATTTCAAACTGATTTTAGTTCATATTCGAGAAATTAGTAATTCATTCTCTAAAATTAAGAGGGCTATGTATATAGTATATTGTAATGGCATCACCCTTTTTTTTTTTTTATCATGGCGCCTAAGGTACGAATATTTAGGTGCATTTGACTATATACTATGATTTAGGTGCATTCATGTAGGTACTATGATTTAGGTTCATTTAAATTGATACTTTGATTATATATTTAGGTGCATTCAACTAGATATTGTGATTTAAGTATATTGTGGTAGGTACCATGGTTTAGGTGCATTTGACTTGGTATTATGATTTACATGCATTCGACTTGGTATTATGATTTACGTGCATTCGATTAGGTATTATGATTTAAGCACATTAGGATATTGTTTAAATGCATTCGATTATCTATAATATATGATTTGGGGTATTTTTATTTCCTCTATGCTTTGGATGGTGATAATGAATAATTTGAATTAGGTACTTGTTTATTTCTTGTAATGTATCACTGATATTTTTTTGGACGTCTAGATGAGCGAGGTATGCTTATTGTTTATGGAAGTCAAACAATAGTCAATGCCAACAAATATGGAGCAAAATAAAACCAAATATTTAATATGGGCATTATGGGAACAAAAAAAAAGCATTAAATATTTAAAAACAAGAAAATATGAACTTTAATATTTATTATGACATGGAAATTTAGTCAAATGACTATAATGAATATATAATCTAACATAAGGTTTATATTGAATTTCAATCTTAATCGAGGATTAAAATGGAGAGAGCCCTTTTACCAAAAAAACAAAAACAAAAACAAAGCTTGAAAGAGATGGCAAAAGAAAAAGGCTTTGTGTTGATGAAACAACGTCTCAAAACTTGAAATTCCTTTTTTTAACACTAAAATAAATTACAACAAAGGATCTTAATTTCAAACATGTCAAATTATGACTTATATAATAAGCTCCATCATGAGTTGGAATTATAAATTTCTAAGACATCTATATATGGTTCAAGTCAAAAAGCAACTTTTGAAACTGATGCAAACCAATATTGGTTAGGGATGTGATATTCACACATATTTTTTTACTTCTCTCACACCCTTTTAATTTTCGGCCGTTTGATCGGATGAATTGAAGAATATCAAATGAAATAAATTAATAAAGGGTGTGGAAGAAGTAAAAAAATGGTGTGTGGATAGCACACCCCTATTGGTTAATTGGAAGCATGAGCCTTGACATTGAAACTTGAAACTCAAACCCTAAACCAATGGATGTACGTGTATACCTACGGACTTTTAACTAGCTCATAAATTAGCGATATTTTATTTTTTAAATATTAAAAGAGATTTCAAATTCAAATTAATCTTATCGTTGATCAAAAAATCATGATAAAAATCATTTAACAATTTAGCGTGCATGTCACGTTGTGAGCTCATAAATTCTTAATATACGTCGTAAGCACCAACAATTACGCATTCAAATAAGAGAAGGTAAAACAAAAAAATAAGTTGAATTGTATGGCCTATAACATTTCATCTTCATGTCTTATCACTTTATATTTTGTGGTACAAAAATCACCAGATGCATCAAAATATATTCCAAGCTGAACGTTGAAAAATCGAGCCCGAACAAACGGTAGCAGACAAATCACATGCTGGCATATGTTGACAATTGCAAAACCTCAGTATATTGATTTTCTGGTTATGTTCGCATATTTCTGATTATGATTGCAAAACCTCTACATATTGATTTTCTGATTATGTTGGAAAATTAGTTGCTTAGTTTATATTATTTGTAATTTTTTTGGGTCAAGAGTGTTTGTTTTAGTATTTTTCTATATACAAGAGTGCTTGAATTCATTTTTTTTATGTAAAAAGGGATTAACTAGTGGTTTCACCATGACAATTTACCATTTCGAGGGCTGAGAAGAATGACAAAGATATTTCAACATTATCCTGACCACCATCATGTTCACAAGCGCTAGGAATCGAACCCTGGATGTGCTGTGTGAAATACGAACATGAAATTCATCCTCAATCATTGCGTCACCCCTGTGATGGTTGTATTTGTTGTTTTAACAAGTCATTCTCAATGCAGTCTTATGAGTTATGTACCGTTTCGATCAGTTAATATTTTTCTCTTTCATTTAATGTAGCATTATTAATAATTTAATATTTTATTATTTCATAGCATATTTTGATTTTTTAATATATACGTGTGTGTATATATATATGTGTGTGTGTGAGGTAATTAGAATAATTCGTCTTCTTTTACCGGATGATCCATGGTCGTTGTGGATGTGATTGCCAATCATAACAATTTGAAATATTAATAAATTATGTCTCTTTTAAATTGAAACATACATCACAAAAAATACAACACATACTTTTCAAATGCATGCTACGATTTGAGTTCTTGACTTTGAAGTCGAGCACCCTTCAATTTCTAAGATCCTGGCATTGGGTGGCTAGCGACCTTTAATTCAATATCAATAATGACCACAAAAGAATTAAGATAAATTAAGGAAATAGTCTAATGTTCATTATATATATTTTGTGTAAGTAATTTATAGCTTTTCAATATCTTAGTAGATAAAATGTTGAGTTTTTATCCATCCGTTTCGAGTCCAATACTCTTATCTGCTCTAAATTATCAATTAGAATTGTTTCTAATACTCCGACCTTCTCCCCTTAATAATAATGATTTAAAATATAAAAATATCCAATATAATGTGTATTTGATTAGATCGTGATATATATATATATATATATATATATATGTGTGTGTGTGTGTGTGTGTGTCACACATCACCTTAGTCAATCTTAAAAAAAAAAAGGCTTTATAGCCAAAATTGTCTATGAGATTTGTATCACACATCATTTTAGTCCGTAAAATTTGAAATTAATAGAAGTGGTATCTGAGATTGTCCACCATTAATCATTTTGGTCATTCTGTACAAAATTATGTTAAATACGGATCAAAATGACAAATATACCCTCAATTTAATAAATAATGGGCCAAAATGATTTGACAAAAATAAGAGTATTTTGATCATTCTATTTTTATTTAATGGAGATTTTTCAATGAATTATTAAAATGATTGATGGTGGACAAACTCAAATGGACCAATTATATTGATTTCAAATCTTAATGACCAAAGCGGGGAGTTATGCAAATCTCAATAACCATTTTATATGAAGTTTCATTTGCACGCCTAATTGTGAAAAAATTATGGTTCCGCGATTAAAACATGGACAAATGGCGAGTTTAATTACTAGAGCAAAAAGCTTTGCATTTACATTTAAATGATAAATTCTTTTGGGATCCGATTTCCTTGATTTCATACGGAAATGTAGTAGGTAAAATAAAATGTATAGATAAAACCATCCTATATGAAAAATATAGACTAGTTGCATTTGCTTGCATGTGTTAAAAATGAACGAGGCTAGAAAGAGAGAGAATGATTAATTATAAATGGTATTGCATGCTGTAAATTGCTTTAACATAGGTGGTCGGTCAAGAACTGACAACAAATTTTGGAAGTGGTTTTTAATAAATTAACCCTAATTAATTAGTCTAACAAATCCATTTCATCTTATTTTTTGTTTGTTTACATATTCTGAGCTGTTTAATTATTCAAAACCATATTTCAAGAAAAAATTATTTTTTCAGGGATCAAAACAAAATCGTTCAAAATTTATATATAGCAAAAAGGAACAATGAACTCATTCAACATTACTAAAAAGAAAATCATTTACAAACTCATACAAATACAGTAAAACCTTTGTAAAGTTATACTGTTGGGACCAAACCAATTTAATTGATGTGTAGTTAAAAATATTATTAATTGTTTTATTTATCCTTGATGAATGTTGTATTTCCTAAATAAGATTCCATGGACGCTAAGTATTTTCTTTCTTGCATATTTTTACACTCATTAACAATTATAACGATGCAGACGCATGTTTTTTTAAGATAGGACCGAGAAAAACTTTAACTTATTACAATATGAAGTTTGTTTCAGTACATAAATAAAATATTATTTATTGACTTATTTATTCTTAATGAATGTTGTTTTTCCTAAATAAAATATGTTAAACGTGTTTTTTTTATAACGAAACAAAGAAAAATTAGGCTATATCCACAATTTGGGGCGCTAGATTCAGCCTATGCGCAATGCATTAGATATGCTTTTAGTAGGAAAAAGAATTTAGATGTATCAATACTATGTAAGTTGTTCTATGTTATATGTTTGTAACTTAGGGTTGGTTTGATATTGCTGTGCTTTGAAAAAAACTACTTCTGTTATACTGTGAGAATAAGCTCATTTCTGCTGTTTCACATTTTCAGTTTTTTTTCATTCAAAACTTTGAAAATCAGCTGTTTTTAAGTGTTTACCAAACACCTTTTTAAGTTCAGTTTTTTTTTATACTTACTTTTTATAAAAGTATCCCAGTACCGAACCAGAACTTAGTACAATGGTTGCGATGTTTCCATGAAAGGAGGAAAAAAGGAATAATGATGTCATTGTGTGCAGAGCAAAATGGAATATTGATGTCAATTAATTACCAGACGCAAATTATGAGGAGCAAAAAAATCAGAGAGAGAGAAAAGAGAAGGTTGACAAAAAAAAAAAAAAAAAAGAGAGGGAAAAAAGAAAATGGTCGCTTTCAAGTTTGAGCAGAAACAGTAATGGAGATGGGAACACAAGTACCAGTCTTCAGCTCCGTTTCCGCCCGCCCATTAAGGTAAACGGAATACACAAATCACACCTAAACCTGCATTTTAATACCAAGAGGGACGACCACCAAAAGCTTTCTCCTTTTTCATTTTTTTCCCTTTTGATATTATAAAAGATTGCATCTTTTTATATATATATTTTTTTAACTGAGAATTTCAAGCTCTCTCTCGCTCTCCATGGTTGCTGACAGAAACAGATGCTAAAGGGCATCAGGACATCAAAACTTGATTGGTAATCTGCAAATCCACGAGGTGGGTTTTTTCGAATATTCAAATCTTATTAGTTTGAACTTTTGGTGTTTGGAGGAAGTTTTTGTGATTATTTGGTTGTGAAATTTAGGATTTTGGCAACATGGGTCGGTCCAAATCTGATTAGGGAGGGCTCTCTGATCAAAAGGGAGCTATTTTTCTGTAAATTTGAGAGAACACAGGAGGTAGGATTTGATTATTGTGGACAAGTTAATATGCGTTGCAGCTGCTTTGGTGCTTCGGTTGCTGAGAAGAGGAAAAGGAAATCTGGTTCTGGTCAATTTGGCCATGATCTTGATGGTACGGACATGGTTAAATGTTCCCACTTTCTGGTTTTGTTATTTTTTTTTTACCTCCGTACTGTGGCTTTTTTGTTCATTGGATTCTGCGGATCATCATTGTTATTGTGATTGATTGATTGTTATGTGTGTTGCATAGAGAATGTGCTGGAAAATATCAAGGCTTTCTCTTACAATGAATTAAGATCTGCGACGGATAATTTCCATCCGAGTAACAAGATCGGGCGAGGCGGTTTTGGAACTGTGTACAAGGTACTCAGATTATGCATTTGTCTTGTAATAGTTATAATTGGGAAGTTTGCACCAATTATAGAGAATTCATGATATCTGTGGTTCGAATTATGTTAGTTGTTTTCGATTCCAAATTTGTTGCAATGACTAATGAGTTGGCTCAAAATATCAAGCAATTGGGTTTGCGTTTTAAGAACACTTCAAGTTCTATCCGTATGTTTTTCTAACACATAGATGCAATGTTTGGTCTGCTAAAAACTCTCACCTGTAGTTCAAGATTTGAGAAAAATAGTGATTTTGTATTTTCCTAGTATTATGATTTTATAGCCGACCCCACTTAGTGGGAAAAGGCTTTGTTGTTGTTGTTGTTGTTGTTATGATTTTGCTTTAGATCATGCGGTGATTAAGAATGTTAGCCACCAATTTGGATTGAATTCTGCGACGTTTCTAGACAGTAATTTCTATTTCCTAGTTTCCAAGCTTTCGTTGCTGGTCTTACATTTCAAAGGACAAACTTTAATAATGATTATGCATTAATCAAAATATGTAGATGGTTTTTGTCCATGACATTTCATATTGTCTTAGTAGTTTAGCTGCGTTTTGCTAGGGAACCCTGACAAGTGGAAAGCATGTTGCTGTCAAGACACTTGCTGCTCAGTCGAAGCAGGGAGTCCGTGAATTCTTAAATGAGATTAACACTATCTCAAATGTCCGGCATCCAAACCTTGTTGAGTTGATTGGGTGCTGTGTTCAGGAAGCTGATCGAGTTTTGGTCTATGAATATGTTGAGAATAAAAGCCTTGATCATGCATTATTAGGTAAATGGATAAATTTTTTAGCATGTAAAGAAAACTGTAGGTACACAATACACAAGGATGGACCATAAGTCTAATTTGTTTTCCTTTTGTTTGTAGGTCCAACGAGTAGAACCATCAAACTGGATTGGGAAAAAAGATCAGCCATTTGCTTGGGTACTGCCAGGGGTCTTACGTATCTTCATGAAGAACTGGTGCCACATATTGTACATAGAGATATCAAGGCTAGTAATTTACTTTTAGACAGAGAATTTAACCCGAAAATCGGAGACTTTGGGTTGGCTAAACTCTTCCCTGATGATATCACTCATATCAGCACAAGGATTGCGGGCACAACGTACGTTACTTTCATATTTCTAGTTGATTCAGTTTCCTTGATTGATTCAGTTAGGAATTTATGTTGCATTGTATTTTCCAATTTTTCCTTGCTTAATTCACTTAGGAGATTATAGAGAGAGTTTATGTAGCTGCTTATGCTTTAGTTTCATTTTTTCAGTGGTTATTTGGCACCAGAATATGCATTGGGAGGTCAGTTAACCCTCAAGGCCGACGTTTACAGTTTTGGGGTTCTCGTTCTTGAAATAGTATGTGGAAGAAGCAGTGCCAAGGGAGACTGGGGTGGGGCAGAAAAGTTTCTGCTTGAATGGGTGCGTTGTTTATTTCCATTTTTCGACAAAATTCTTGGCATATCAGATTCATTAATTTTTTCCTTGACCATACGCGCAATCTTATATTGCGATTTTGTACACTTTGTAGCTGTTGAGGTCATATGGACTTATTTCATTTTCCATTTACGTTCTTTTCCACGATCATACTCGCAGTCTTATTCTGCTTCCTTTTACAATTCTTTCGTTTCTTCGATAGGCATGGCAGCTCCATGAAGAAGGGAGACTATTGGAGCTAGCTGACCCGGAGATGGGGGAATTTCCGGAGGAAGAAGTCCTTAGGTACATGAAGGTGGCATTTTTCTGCACCCAAGCAGCAGCAAACCGAAGACCAAAGATGAGCCAGGTTCTTGACATGCTCTCGAGAAACATAAGACTCAACGAGAAACAACTTACAGCCCCAGGTTTCTTCAACAGTTCAGGGAGCCTGAGCGGACCTTCAGGTAAAAAGTCATTTTCCGAAACCACTACCAGTCAGATGAGTTCCGTCCCCGACACTATAACTCAAGTAACACCTCGCTGAAGAACAATGTAATTGTGAGTCAGAGGAAGACGAAGATGAAATTATCTGCAAGTCCGCAACAAATTATTCAACAGTTGATAATTTTTGTCAACCATTTTACACGCTTTTTTTCTTCTTTTCTTTTTAGCCATTTTGAGTAGGGAGAGGGTGGTTTGAGCAGAGTCTATAATTTATTTTCATTAAAGAAAATGGTACGAATACGATTGTACAAATAGACCCTAAACTTTAGTCCACCGGTCATATGGTTTCAGATTTGATGTTTTTTGATAGACATGATTTTTGACGAAAGACTTAAAAGATAGACATTTCAGATCATTAAAATAAATTACTTACCTCACAAAAACAAGTGTCAAAAATATTGTCACGGATCAATTCCCATATATATACATAATAGATGCTTTCGACAACAGCAAGAATGTTGGATGCAATAACAATTGAGTCGGAGGGTATTTTTATTTTTATTTTTCAAAGTTGTGCTTCATATGGTTTTTATCTAAGAAAGTTTTGAGAGGCGTAGTTATAAAAGATCCCTGCAAAATGGAAAAGTTTTCATGGAGATTTCAGGGATTCCGTGATCACGATCATTCATCGTATATTGTGCGATCAATTTTTGTTAGGTATTATTTACACTTAATTTTAAATTTTAAAATAATTTCTGATCGCACGATGTATGATGAAAGGTCCTGATTACGAGATCCCTAGGATCCCTGAAAAATTTCACACCATACAGTATACGTCATTCATGAATATTTAAACAAATTTCGAACTTAAATGCAAAAACGGAAACACAATTTCTCTAACCAATTTGGCTAAATCCGTAAACATCAAGCAAGATGATCGTATGTATCATGGTTGATGGAATCTACTCTTTTAATTCAAAATTTTGTACTCCTCACAAAAATATGGATGCAGTTCATCACAACGCGTCTGCTGATCCAAAAAAGTAAATATTCATAAAATGTGTGCAAACAACGAAAATTCCAAATCTCAAATCCCAAGCACAACACATTCAAACACGAATGTATATAAAGGCCTGCACAATTAAAACCTAAACACTAATTAATGGAGGCCAAATATTACAATATTCGGATAATAAGTAGCAAACGAGGCTGGCGATTTGTAGCCGATAGTTAATTACAATCTCCAAAAAAAAATATGGAAGGGTTCGAATTAAGCAGCGAGTTCCTCGGCAGGTGCAGGAGTGGCTTGTTCGGGAGCGTTTGAAGAACCATTGGAGGTGGCATCCTTGGCTTCTGAAGCGGGCACCTCAGCTTCTGCAGACGCATTAGCTTTTGGTGCTGCATCCTTGGCCGGAACCTTCCCATCTTTGGCATCTTTGGCCGGAGCCTTCCCATCTTTGGCATCTTTGGCGTCTTTAGCTGGAGCGGGTGGGGGTGGAATCATGTGTGGTGGAGTTTTATGCTTCAGCCTCACATGTATTTGCCGCAGCCTCGAAAGATCAGTGGGCTTTCCAGGCTTTGGGCCTTGAATGACTTGGATCCCTGGTTTCTTTTCCTGATCCTTCTTGCCTCTCCTCTTCTCAATGTTGGGAACCTCGTGAGGAATGAGCTCCGCGATTGCTTTCCAACTTTGCTTGTCAGCGTTTTTATGGAAATTCTCTTGATTAACCAAGAACAACTGCTCAACATATAAACCAACTTTTTAGCATTAGGAACAAAAAACCACAGCCGGTAGTCAAAAAGCGGGCATTCCAATACTTACCTTCTCCTTTTCTCTGTTCTGGACCTTGTTGGTCTCAACGTTAAGCTTCCTTTTCTCGTAGAATGCACGCTTGAACTCCTCAGCCTCTTCAATAATTTGGTTCCTCAGTTCTTTCTCCCTCTTCTCCTTCTCCTCAAGCAGGATGGCATTTTGACTGTACCAGAAAAGTCAAGTTAGGTCATTAATATTCTAGCGGAAAAATAACACCATTAGCTAACTTGTAACTTTTGTGCAGATCGACCAATGCGTGCACAAATCACTAAAGCAACTTACCGTTGTCATTTTGAATGACTACAATCAACTTACCGTTGTCGTTTTGAACAACAAACATGACAAATTTGTTATTTCATTATTAGTTTGTTGTAGTTCAACTGTTATACCCAAGACTTTTTTCCTAATGACCATCCGATTGGATTTGATGGAAAAACTGAACCACCCTTTTTCGTCATTGAGTTGATAAAAACTCCGATGAAGTTTGATTAACCTCAAATGAAACTAAATTTTGCAAATAACTCACTAGCAAGTCTAGCAAAGAAAGAAAGAACTTATTCTTCTATGATTAAAACAACAATAAAGCATTTTCCCACTAAGTGGGGTCGGCTATATGAATCCTAGAACAACATTGCGCTCGGTTCTGTGAACTCATTCTTCTCATTGAAAGCAAAAAAATTTCCTTCTGGCAATCAGATCCAAGAAAATCAATAGCAATCCTCATTCCGAAACGCTAAATTTGACTCGAAAAGCACTACAATTCGGTTTAGAAGCAGCTCCAAACTACACAAACACAATCAATCGCTGATCTATGTCTTTAAGAACCGCATAAACTTAACGATTTGATCAACCTTTCTCGAAAAATCGCAACTAAAGAACTAACAACCGTACCTTTTAGTGATCACAACTACAAGAAATCACACAGATCTAACAATAGTTCAATACAGACACCTATATTTAGCTCAAAATCTAAGATCAAACGGATGCAGAATTTCACAGATCTAAAGCAGCAGCTCACAAAGCAAGCAACTAGATTTCTCAAAAAAAGCGAATCGGATCCGGATCTTACCGCCGCCACTCACGAAGAGCGGAACCTTCCTCGACAAACTCGCTAGGTTCCGGGAGCACGGGACCGTCGGATGTGAAGACGCCATCGTCGATTCCGTTCTCGCCAACGCCGTAACCATTTCCGTCGCCGTTCTCAACTGGAGCTGAATCGAAGGGAGTGGAGTGGGAGTAGTTGGAGCCGGGACCGTCGAATCCGAAAACATCCGGGGAGTCAGGGGCGGCGGTGGCGGCGCCGTGGTCGGTGTAGGAGCCGTAGTCGGCGTAGCTCTCGACGACGACTTCGTCCTGGTCAAATTGGCTGTTAGGGGCATGAAGATCGTCGCCGTCCACGCTGAAAGCGTCGAAGGAAGCCATTTTTGGCGGCGGTGATTTCTGTCTCTCTCTGTCTGAAGAGGATTTCAGTGGAAATATTTTGAAAGGGAAAGAAAGAGGTTTTAATTGGAAACTAATGGAAGAAGCTCTAATTTTTGGTCTTGTCAAATTTCGCTGTAAATTTTGACTGACGTTCGGACTACCACTTTTTTACGCTACATATATATATATATATATATATATATATATATAATATATATATATATATATATATTGATCTATTGTTTAGTAATACTTTTAAAATTATTAAATTGCATTTAAAATTGACATAATTCTTCATTTTGATATTTGACAATAAAATTTAACAAAAGTAGTTCTGAGTTTATCTACCTTAAACCATTGAGTAATGATATTCATACCATATTTTTGTACCACATTTTCATAACACGTAGCATTTGATGTAGACAATCACATCATTTGAATTAATCAGATTTTTAAATTTAGTTCATTATTTAATAAACTAATAATTAAGAAAAAACTAGTTAATTAAATAATGATTGTGGCATACGAGGATTCTTTCTCCTTTATTTCCTTGTGTTTTGCAAATTTTTCAAATGATGTGGCTGTCCACATCAGATACAACCTAATATGATACAGAAATGTAGTATAAAAATGTGGTATGAATAGTATTACTCTAAACCATTATATTATGTGAAAAATATGTCAAAATCTTCGTTAAATTATCACATAAAACGACCATGACCACCTTTTTAAGACTATACTTGTCAAACCAACTCTTTCACTTAACGTGAATATTAACATATTTTTTCATAAAATAATAAAATGATTTACAGTGGACAAACTCAGAGACTGATTCTATCAATTTTCAATATCAAGAATGTCAAGAACTACTTTGGCTAAAAAACCTTTTATTAATTGTTAACTTTCATGTCATATGTGTATCTCCCTCTCTTTTTTTCTCTCTCCTCACGTGACGGGGGCATTTTATGCTCATGCCACACCCTGCACTTATGTGAGGATGCTACCAGATTCATTACAACATCAACAAACGCGATCCTTAATATTACAATCTAGTAGTATTTTTCTTTACTTGTAAGCGAAAGATCTTAAGTTCGATTCTCGCCAAAGGTAAATTTGAACCGCATTGTGACGCTTAGTCCACTCCCTTACCCCCTCAGATAATATTGTTTGTTAAAAAAAAATTATCAACTAACGCAATACTGGTAACAAAATTTCCATTCCGTCGACGGTAAGCGAAAACCATATTACATTTAGCTCAATTTACATCAGTAAGCAGTTCCACCTCAAGTAACATATCCCAGAAGACTGACATTTTCTTATACTCCCAATCTTTGCAGAGATGGACACCGAAAGAAAACTGGCAATCGGACTGAAATAACCATCGATGCTTAGAGCGTGCCGGGACTACATAGCCGCAACTCTGAGCATAGCCAAAGGCAGACGTCGAAGCCTCCGTGTCCTGTTTACTTCCGGTAACTAGACATCAATACACTGTCAATCCTACCTAGATAGGCACTTTCGAAAGTCTTGGAAGAAATGCATCAACCACACAAAAAAGGAGTTACACGGCATTGCCTTCCGAAAACGTGCAAGGAGGCTTATAAGCATTTGGTTGTGGGGGGGGAAATCGTTACAACAATGACTGAAAACCACAAGAATGTTAGGACTGTAGTCACCTGACAAGCACCTCCCCGTTCTTTCAGAAGAATCTGTAACGAAGCTGCAAGCTCAATCTTGTCCACAATTAAGCAGCTACGGCTCCATGGTCCTCGCCCTTCTATATAATATGTACGGAAGACGTTATGTCAGTAGCTATACCAAAATGGGATGAAATGGTGGTATGATTTTCAGGGAACTGGTGGAGCATTTTTCGGATATCTAGCAGAAGAGGGCATCCGTTGAAGAACTTGTGGAAACTCCTGCTTCATTCGTTTATTTGGCATCCCTTGGAAAGACCTTTTTACCAGAAACACCAAATTAGAAGGGAAGAATACACAATATATATGGAGAGGGAGGGAGGGAGAGAGAGAGAGAGAGAGAGAGAGAGAGAGAGAGAGAGAGAGAGAGAGAGAGAGAGAGAGAGTAGCAACTAACAAAATTTACAAGGAGAAAAAAGGGAAAAGGTCTCAACCTACATATTATTTTGATATTCTGCAAAAAGTCAATACAGAAAGCAAGAA